CTAAAGACTTTAAAGAAATTTTTGGTAGAGAAGTTGCTTTAATTTCAGCAAATATAAAAGGTTTCCATGTCAGAAGAATTTCAATTACATAAATTGGATAAATTATTTCTTTTTGAAAATTGACAGTGTGAAGACAATCTACATAGTTCAGGAAGCAGTAGGTGGGGGAATCACTGACAAAAGGTAGAAAATCACAGGCAAGCCCCACAAAAACATAAATGTGTAAAGTAAACTGCTGTGTTTTCATCTTTATCCTACCTTTGAGTGTCTGGTAAATGTGAAGTCCTGCAGGTACAAGCTTTGCAACACTAAGAACCATATCTCCTTCCCAAAATTCTAACAGCTAAAAAACATTAATGAAAGAAAAGAGAATAATGAATAGTAATACACATACATAAGTCTACAAAGATAGGTAGATTGCACCTTTGCAGGGTAGGTGAGAAGAGCACTGTGCCAATTCACATATGTAGATGAAACAGGGAGCAAGCAAATGAACACTCCCACGCCTACCTAACAGCAAAAATTTGGAAATAAGACATCGCTCGTTAAATTAGTCAAATCCCAAAATGGCTAATCTCAACCATTCCTAACTGAAGAACTCTGGCATACATACACAAGGAGCACAACTGTCTGAACAGTTCTACTGAATTTATGTGAAGACCACGTTTATCAGAAAGCAAACCGAACAGCATGCCAGCTTAGGAACTTTTCCCAAAAGAACTTATTTGTTGAATCAGCCCACTTTAGGGAAAAGCAGCACTAACTCTAGCACACACTATTATTCTAGTTCCCCGAAAGGAATGTAAATCTGTAAATTTAATAAGTGGCATTACTAGTTTACTTAATAGATTACCAGGGATTTGTTCTTTAAGTTTCTAGATCTGAGACTCTGGGCACTGTGGTAATCTCACCAAAATATCACCCATAAAGGTTATGCCTACCCACTCTTTCTCCACAATACCAGAGACATTTCTCTTAAAAAGAAATTTCATATTTATAAGTGATTAGTTTGCTGTGAAGATAACAGTAGAGACGTAAACTTAAAACAAACAAAAAGCACAGGCTGGGGTGTATCTATAACTTATGAAGTAAATAAGATATTTTCCATTTGAAATGTCACCCTAGGCGGGTTCAGATCCCCATGTCCACCTATATAGCAAAAGTGTCAGAATTGGCTCAGAAATAAACTTTTAATGAAAAAGTTCAGAAGTATTAGGCAATTTTAGAAATCTTGACACTGATCCAACATTCAAATTAAATAACATTCAAATTAGCTAAAGTTAAAAAAGAAATTGGTTTGCTTTTCTTAGAAGAAAAAAATCAAAAGGAAGCTAATAATTTTGGTGAGTGATACCATTTTTCAGAAAATTCGTTTAAATTCTTTCTGGGAAAAAAAACGAAAAAGCTTACATATTCTATCTCCCTTTCCTTGGTCAGGAAGTAATGTGATTATGAGGAAAGGACCCTAGATGGAGAGTGGGGAGATCATGGCTGGAGTCCCAGTTCCACTATGCCTAGATTTCTGACCATGGGCAAGACATTGGGTCTCTTTAAATCTCAGTGATCTCATCTTCAAAATGGGCCTAGCCTGCCCTCCTGAGGTCAAAGAACCACATTACACAGTTTACACGAAAGCAGTGTGAGGAAAATAAAGAGCACCACTGTTTCTATTACCATCATTACAACACAGCTGGATAAATTATTTGGAGACAATGATCACAATGTTTGTTTTTACTATAGTCTAGTACATACTTTTCTTCACTTAAGAATCCTATTAATAAATGCTGTCTTATATCAGAGGGTACTAAATTAGTTGCTTTTACTTGCTTAGTTCCGTTTTAAGCAACATGCTCATCTTTATCTTCTCACTCCCTTTGAAAAGTAATTCTCTTTATTTTCCATAAGAAAAGACAACCATATTTATACTCTTTTTTCCCCCAAATAAAATGTACCAGGTCTGTTTCTCGACCTGAAAAGCTGCTGTTAGGAGCTGTGCAGGAGAGCCTCTCTAAAAGATGTACAAGTAGGGGAGAGCGTTCAGGTCAGCCCTCTCTGAAGTGGCAGATGTAAAATTTTCCTAAGCAGCTTTGGAAAACAAAGTTATATCCTAAACAGGATGAAATGCTCAAGATGGACCTTCATGTCTAAATTAAGAGGAAGTAAGGCTAAATTACCTGAAATATTGATTGTCGGAGATCTCCTAAAGTTTTTCTTTTATCAAAAGTCAACTCCCACACGCTTTCTGTTTGAGAGACTACTGGGTGCAGAGCCCCATTGAAGAAATGATATTGAGGGCCCAGGTGGAGATGCAATTCGAAATTATTGTCTGCAGAATCACATTCTGCCCTTTAAAGAGGCATAAAAAATACATAAATACTATGTTTTTATATGATACTATTTCATCTCATACCAAAAATATTTGATTTATAATACAAATAAGGTCTTCATTTCACCTAAATAACATCCTTTTCTTCTATGTGCCAAAATGATTCACTTTAGTTTTTCAATAAATACCAAAAATTCAGCTCTGTCACCATGAATTCCAAGGTAA